TTGGGTGAATATCATAAAATAATCCTATAAGTTTTGTGTCCTGAATTAAATCTTTTCCCTTGTAAACTCTGACTACAACAGGGCCCTTCTGTTTCAGTTTTAATTGGTCTGCAGGGGTCACTTCTTTCCAAGTTTGAATGAGCACTTGGTCTCCTGGGCATACACTAGGTGGTCTCCCTGGGTCAGGAGCTGGCAGGACTATTGTATTTGGCCTAGACTAATAAAATATTGTAAAAGTCTTATGGTCTCTGGGCCTGCCTCCATATCAGAAGATAGAAAAGGCCTCCCATGTAATATCTCAAATGGACTCATATTTTTCCCTGTTGTGGGGGTGTTTCAAATCCTCATGAAGGCTAATGGCAATAATCCGAGCCAAGACTCAGCGGTTTCTTGGCGAAGTTTTGCTGGAGTTCGCTGTAGGATCTGGTCGACTCTCCCAACCTTCCTTGAGGACTGAGAACTGCATGCAGGCCCCTTTCCAGTAATCCTTGCCGCACGCACTGCAGTAAAGATGGCAGAGATCACTAGATTCACCGTTCTAGGACAAGGGCAGGCCCCTTCGAGCTGATGAAGACCACCCAAAAGAAGCAACCTATTCCTGTGAACCTTTGGAAAGACCTGAGGCTTCTCTTCAAAGAGGAAGACTCTGGTACAGTTCCAAGCTCTGGTACGGTTCGAAGCGCAGCTAAGTAGAGTCACTAATTCACCATAGTTTAAGCAGACACTTGTATTGAGACTCTTCAGCTAGATCCATCATGTAGGCAATCTTGCTAGGGCTATGGCTCTCACCCTCTTGATAATTTCTGTTTCTACCATACCTTTTTCCTCCACAGGGAGCAGGAGAATCTGACCTGGTCCTTGTCATATTTGGGCTCTACGCCCCCAACCTAATTGTCGGGAGCTGTGGAAGCTGGAAAGTAATTACAAGCGCAGGACGGAGCCAGCTCGAGAACATGGGAGCTCCTCGCGGCAGGTAAACAAGCCGTTGTGGCTTGTTAACTGATTGCTGGACAGTGCAGCAAAAATTAACCAACCTCTTGAGAGTATAAATAAATGCTCTTCTGTTCTTGAGTAGTTCCCCTTCTATGCTGAGAGAGAAGACCTTCACCTGATCCCAGCTTTTGTCTCTTGTCTATTTTTTCCTCATTCTTGCCACGGTTCCTTCCCAGGAAGAACAAGAACCCAACAGATCCCTACACCTAACAAGAACCCAACAGATCCCTACACCTAACAAGAACCCAACAGATCCCTACACCTAA